CTTTTTCTTGTTAAACTTCATATTGTTATTTACATTCTTTTATAAAAAAAAAAATAATATTTGAATTTTTATTCTAAAGTTAAAGCAACTTCAAAGCCACAAAACCTTATTTCTCACAAGGATAAATGGAGTATTCTGATTAATATGTTGTACTTAAATATTAAACCGTAATTAATGCGTAGACATATCCTTGTTGAAAATGCTATTTTTGAGAAGTTACAGGCACCTCTTTGAATATAAGTTTTTGCATCTATAATGAGATTACAATGTTTCCTCGGTTTGCAAAACAACTTCATCTGATGTTTTTTCTCACAATGTGTTTATGCTGTACCATAGTTTCCCTCCTGCAGTCTCTTCAGCTGATTCTTAATATGAAACAGCTTTCTTGCTCACTTTGAGTTAAAAAAAAAAAAAGTTCCCTTTCGAGATCCCTGTTGTAGTAGATTGATGTTCAGTTCACACTTTGTCAATGCTAGATAAACATCATTCAACACCATTTGGATTCTCTCATAGAAGATCTTTGTGTCTCAATTCTCAGTTTGGAGCAGCAGTGTGTTCAATCTCAAAATGATTGCTCATTTGTTCTTGAAAACTGACAGTTAAAGGGCCGGAAAAAATAGATTGCGTATATTCACGTTTGCATCATTCTGTTTTTAAGGAATATTGTACTAGTTTAGGAAATATGCATATTACATGACATTACTTGTTACTTGTTACACGCTTTTATCCAAAGCGACTTACATACTCAATACTGTGGGCAATCCCCACAGGAGCAATTTGGGGTGAAGTGTCTTGCCCAGGGACACAATGACATGCTGACTGCAGCGGGGTTTGAACCTATGACCCCTGATCCGAACACCAAGCACTACGCCTCTGCATAGACTCTCCCTTGGCGAGAGTTTACATGAACATCAATATCATATGGATAAAACTTTAAAGGTAGAGCCAGAAGGCTGTCAGCCTCGATTAAGCATATGATGGAAAAGCGCCGAAGCCGTATACAATTACAATTCAGCCAACCAGCACAATCCAAAGGCATTATTTGGCATATTTCTCGTTTCTTTAGTTTGTTATAAATAAAGTTGGACTATTGTGATTGCATGGTATCTCATGATATTACGGTAGCAGTGTCTCATCTGTGTTGCTATACAATTCATAGCCCCAAAATAGAGTGAAGGGTCTAACCATGCACCCCCATCATAACTTGCCATTTAATGTTGGTTTTGTGTGGATTTTATCAGACAATAATACAATTTTTCAGCTTTCAGACAGAGCCAGGGCTCTTTCCAATTGCCTCCCAGACTTTATGCTAAGCCCTAACCTATCTTTGGCCATCTTCCTATTTAATAGTAGTTGGTCTTTCTTATAGAATGTCTCATGTATTATTATTTATAGTCTGTTATAGATCGCTCCTGTTCTGTCTGCTGTCATCTTAGTGAGATAGTCCATCTCGCTATCTAAAGTATCATTCAAGTGAAATACCTATACATCAAACGGTTAACAGAAACGATCTCTGATATATAAGATCCTCTGCTATGACTTGTAATAACAACGCGTGAAGAGTATTAACGCACTAGAAAAACAATATATGAGCGTCATATAAGCCTTTTTGTGATGTTATGTTGTCAATGGGGAACGACATGAGGATCCTGCTGCTAGTCCTAGCTTATATATTGATACGGGTCTCGGAAGCTGTTCGTGACTAGTGTGTAGTGAGTGTCTTTATATCGACGTCCCGCGGCACCAGTCTCTCTGCCGCGTCTCACCCTTGTCTACAAGATGGGGTGGAGCAGCAGTGAGTCATATTTATGCCTTTCTGACAATTCACAGTGTGTACACTACTCCTCGCCAAGGAGTTTATTGTCGATTATTCTTCAGTGCAGAGGCACCGTAAAATAATGGTCTCTTAGGAGCGCTGTCGTATCGAGAGCCGATCTATTTAGCGGTTGAGCGAACATCTCTCGCTGCTTCTCCTCAGCATGGTCGCCACATTGCAGAGAAAATGTCCTGTCACATTGTGATGCATATGACACGTCACAGCGCTCGCAATACAGTGCTCTTCTGTGGGATTGCCACAGCTAATTGAGTCTCTGTAAGATCTCGCGTTGGATAAATAGCGTATAGAGAGCAGCCTAGAACAGACTACAGGGTCAAGAGCGAGTGATATAATATCGCAGAGGCCCTCAGAGTAACTAGTCTACAAGAACTGATTCCTTAATAAAGACAGGAATAGATTCAACAATAGCAACACTTCACCGGTCTGGCATATTTTAAGGGTGTCTGCAAAATGACAATTAAATAGCGGCTATGCAACGTGCTCTGACGAGAAATCCTGCACACACACACACACAAAGACGCGACCGGAGAGCGCGAGCCAAAACACACACTAAGGAGTTAGACCTAACACCAGCTTAGGCTGGTTTTTATCTACCAACTCGGGACAAGCCCTAAACTAGTTATAAAATATGTTTATTCTTCACTGTCGGGTCACTTCGCTTAGCTGGCATCAGTGAGCTGCCTCCATGAGCATACGACAGCGCTGTCAGGAGATGCGAGAGGAGAGGGAAAGCAGAAAAGAGAGCGCTTCCGCCTCATTTCTCCGCCGTGTCTATTCGTCCAAATTAATGTCAACTTGAATAAATGTACTTCAGTTTGAATGTANGTATGCCCCCCCGGGAAGATTTCTTTGAACATTTTAAAGTAAAATGCTTCAATCTGGTGCACTTTGAGCTGAATTACTAGAGACTAGATCTAGGGGGTAGTACCCCCTAGATCTAGTCTCTAGTAATTCAGCTCAAAGTGCACCAGATTGAAGCATTTTACTTTAAAATGTTCAAAGAAATCTTCCCGGGGGGGCATACCCCCGGACCCCCCTAGAGGATGTGACGTCCACCCCCCAATTAAAACATGTTCATACAATACTGAATACATTTGAAGCCAATTTGATGTATATTACCTATGTCAATAAGTTTCTGTTTTTGTAGTGTATTTGTCTTTTGTAGAGATTTTTCATTTATTCTTTATATATAAAATCTCGCCTAGGGCAGCAAATTGGCTAGAACCGGCCCTGGTACTAGGCCTTAAGAGCCTTTCCTGTGCTGGCAGACACATAGAAACAAATTGGAGGGGCGCACTTCGCACGTGCACACACAAAAAAATGTCACGCGCTCCGCGCTCACATTATACTGGTCCCACGTGCCTTAGCACCGCTGCTATGACTCCATCCTAGGGGAAACACTGTACAGTATAAGGAAACTCAACAAGATACCTTCATACAGGGCATGACATAAATGTGGCAAGATAACTTGATGAAATGAAGCTTCCATTTTTTAGAGCAAAAGCGACTTCTGTTATGACCATGATTAAAGGATTATGAAAAATAGTCTATATTATGCATTCAAGGTCTGCAAAGCCAGGAAGCATGCACACTACAATGCTTGCTCTCATTTAAGTTGACCAAGTTTGTCATTCCCGAATTGTAAACCCATGCTGGGCACAATGCAGAAATCCCATTCAAATGAACCAGTGTATGCTATTAATCTTTTAGTTTAATCAGTGTCCCCTGATTGGCTAAAAGAAATACCTCATCTTTACAGACTGCAGACTCTTCTGGAGATGCATTTCCTCACAAACAACTGATTCTTCTCAGCAGGGGAGTAGCTTTATCACAGGGAATTCTGGGAAGGCGGAGGGCTGTACCTGGCTTTAATTTCAGCTGTCCACCAGGATTAGGACACAGTTCATATAGCAAGCTGTAATCATCTGCAGTAGTGAGGCGCTCTCTCACAGCTGGCCCCGGGGCCCGTCAAAGCCTAAGCCATTTAGTGCTTTGTAGTTTTCTCTAATAATAATAACCTGGTACAAATAACTTGTGTAGAGTTCATTGTGTTGTATAGAGAGGCGAAGTCCCGCCCATCTACCTCCGACCCATGGGACCTTATTTCGGAAAAATTATGTATTGAAGTCAATGGGGAGATAAAACGTATCTTTCGATCCCGTTTGAATTGTGCCACGAATTACACATATGATGTTTGTCAATCTTAAAAAATGATTACACATGTCAAAAAAGTAAGCTTGTCGAAAAACTGTTGAAATATAAGACTATGAAAAATACGCAACTAGAAAGACTACAAATCCCAGAGTCGCGTAAGTGATGTCACAATTGTTTTCCTCCACTAAGAGATAGCTAAGATCAGCGCCATATAGATATAATCTATCTATATTGCGCTGGCTAAGATAAGATAACTTTAACAAGATGCCTGTGTGCTTAGTACCAGGTTTTTATCATACCAGCAATGGGTCTTGCTCGTTCTTTCGCTTCCCGTCTGATGAAAGGACTAGGAGTGGCTGGATCAAGTTAGCTACCTAGCTAGTAGCTAGCACGTTAGTTAGCATTACAGCCTTGTCATTTTTATTAGCCTTAATATGAAGTGACATTAAGTAACCCAACATGTTAAACAGTAAGAGTAGTAGTCATATTTCGTGAACCCTTTGAAGAGTACTGTCACCGGTGTGATCATTCTATAATACACNAGTTTTGCATATGTGCCGAGGGACATTTAAGAGGAATCAAAGCCATGAAGTGAGGGACCTATTCAACCAAAAGCTGAACTGTCTTCAAGTTAATGGAAAAGCAGAGGACAATGTGTCTATTGAGTCCCACAGGTGGTTGGTGAAAAACAATAGTGCAACAACGAACATAGTTAAACTTACATCCAATATTATACAGTATTTTGCATATTCTGATGGCTATTGCCTAAGAGAGTATAGAGAGGCGGAGTCCCTCCCTTTCCGGGGGACCTCCATGGGACCTTATTTCGGAAAAATTATGTATTGAAGTCAATGGGGAGATAAAACGTATCTTTCGATCCCGTTTGAATTGTGCCACGAATTACACATGTCAAAAAAGTAAGTTTGTCGAAAAACTGTTGAAATATAAGACTATGAAAAATACGCAACTAGAAAGACTACAAATCCCAGAATCCCGGTCCATAACATACTTCTGAGACTCAGGGCCAGTTCCCTGTGGGTGTAGCAGAGCGGGAGCTGCCTGTGAGTTATTACACCGCCCATCACCAGTCCGCTGATGCTGGTCATGTGGTTGGTCAACTAAACACAATGATGCCTTCCTCTGAAATAACAACACAAAAGTATTTCAGCATTAGCAACACTGTCTAGCTTCTTACTTCCACCAAGATCAACATTAAGTTATTATGTGGTGTTAAAAAGGCATCAGAGAAGCTGATTTTGGGTTTAGCTGAGCCAAGGTCTCCCCGCATGGAGCTAAAGAAGGAACCACATCAAAGGCTGCACTGTACCAGGAAGGACGGAGGCCCTGGTGAAAGCCTGACGGCCCCTGGGATGATTGCACACAACTCATCAAAGTGACAGGTTTAGCGGACAACAAAAAAAAGAAAGTGGGTGCATCAGCTAAAGAGGGAGGGAAGGATAGAGGAGGACAAGATGTTTTCAAACCTTTTAAGGCATTTGGGATGGCATGTCAAGAATAGTGTTTGACACTGTATGTCTTTTGAATCATTTTTCCAAAACTAATTCCACATTTGGGGGTTTGAATAACTATGATTACCTTTCAAGTGAAGCAAATGTGCCACACAGGGCAACCCAAACAGCACGTTGTTGTTTTCAAAAACCTCAAACATCTGCAAAGAGAAACAGGAAAGGCGAAAAAATCTCTCCACAAAAGGGCTTGGTCCTGTGAGTTTAAACATGATCCATCTCGCTGTGTGATTTGAAAGCACATTCACGCAGATCTAATAGCAGAATGTTAAGATGCTGGATGGTAATGCGCTCTGACATACGTATATGCAGGAAGGCAGCAGGTAATCCTAGAAGCCCTTAGAGCATTGCAGCTAACCCTGCATGTAATAATGTCTGGCTAACAAGACAGAAGAGGAAGATGGTAAAAAAAAAAAAAAAGGGGGCAGAAAAAGGTGGAATCAAGAATGATTGAATGTATATGGACAATTAAATAAACAAAGATAAAAGGTGCTGCAGTAATTTAATGAATTATTTAAACTCAGGCAGCACTGCTCACATTGCTCCCTGGCTTCTGTAGGTCTTAGATGCGGAAACCAGGGAAACCTTATCCCTTCGACACCTTGGCGGTGAGGACAGACATCTCCCACCCGATTAGCATCGAGACCCCTGACGAGGACTCGAGGGGTCTGCGAATGGCTGGAACCCCAATGAGAGCTAGTGTCTAAGTTACACTGCACTCACATTAAGGAACAGGAGGCCTTAGGTTCCGTTTCACTTCTGCCACTCTGCTATACTGTAAATCTGATGAAAAAACATTGTATTATATGTAATACGCATGAGGAAAGCTTGATTTAGCACTCATGAGGAACCATATGTCTCACACATGTACACATGTTTTGGTTTCTTGTTGTTTTCTTTGTAATGACTCCAAGTAAAGCAGCCAATGGGGGCCTGGGGGTGTGTGTGTGTGTGTGTGTGTGTGTGTGTGTGCGTGTGCGTGTGTGTGTGTGTGTACACATTCTGATGTATGTGTACTGGGGAGCCACAGAAACAGCTGTTCTATAACTGCCTTTAACTTTCTACCTTAACATTGGGAAGTGGTTGGTTTGGTTTGGTATTGTCACAATGTATAGTCGAGTTTCAGCAGACGTCTAATCACAAGGTTCATTTATTTGTCAACACATGTCGAAGTAACTATGTCTTTCAATCTTAGAAACAAAAACCGCTGCTGGAACTGTAAAGGACGGATATCAATAGATGTTAAGTATTAGCTAGCTAATCTGTTAGCGATTAACTGGGCTAGCTATAGTTGACGCCAACTAGCCGTAGTTGCTATGTGAACGCTATGTAGCAAACCACAAGATCAAAATATTGAAGTGGATATATCTGGCTGTGAGGGGCTTTTATACGTTTCAAAATCTAAGGAACATGAAAACCAGGCCCACACATGTGATATGATTCCACAAAACAGTAGCCACAAGTGGAAAAGCATCCTAGCGGGAGCATTTCTGCGACTAGCATTTTCAGCAGCAAGTTCACCAAAATGTTACGCTAGGTTAACAGTAATCTTACAGAGTTTTGAATTGTAATATTGTTTGAAGGTAGGTAGGAAGTTTTTTTATTTAATTTAGGGTAGCAACTCGGATTCTCTGTTATAACTGGCTTAATATTTTACGGTTTTTATTTTTAAACGTGACACAGGCCTCATGACTGAGGTTAGCTTAGGACGGGAGCAGCCATGTTGTTCTGGTTGATTAGAGACATGCTGTGTCCAGATGACCTATCTGTCTGTTTCTTACCATTTCCTTTCATAAACAACAAAGAGATGAAAAGAAAATGACAGATATAAGAATGAGCAGGGAGAGTGAGAGCGGTTGGCTCAAATTAAAAGTGATTAGCAGAGCCGTTTAGCTGCCCTTTTAGTCAACATTCTTACCCAATGTGATGACTGGCAGCTCGAAGGTGTGAATGACATCACATGCACATGTTGGATTCGCAATGGTCAGCAAGTGCAAAGGCAAGATTACCAGTTGTTTTTTGGATGATAAAATATTTAAAATGTGCTATCATTTCAAATATAATTAGAAAATAAAACAAAGTGGAGTTAATTTGCTGTCTCTCACATCACTACTTAAATAATTGACAGACTACCCACAACTGACTGATCTTATTAGGAAAGATCAAAACATTTTAAAAAGAAACACACGTTTATTTTAACAGCTAACCCAAAAAGAACAACTGATAATGAAAAAAGGCGAGGGGATCACTTATGATATTAGCATCCATCCTAAAGCGCACATGAATATTGGTACATAATAGCAATCCTAGTCACTGGAAATGGCTCTTAAACCACAAATGTGAACATCATGGCGCTTGAAAATAGAGTCAGCGTTTCACCTAAGTCATGAGGATTCATTATGTGGTCTCCAAGATTATCAAGAGCCATGCTACAAGCATTTCTCTGGAAAGCGATCTCCCTTTGGCAGAGTAGGACAATGTTTTAATTCTGAAAAGTGGATCATCACCTCTCACAGGGTATACCTAACACAGATTCTCTATAAAGTTTGTCTATAGCATTATTATCTTTTCAAGCATGAGCCAAAGACCATCAGGTTTTCAAATTGCATGCAGGTTCAGTACGCTGCGTTTATTTGGCAGAGGAAGATAATGTTTAAAAATGAGAAACAGACTGCTGTTGCTTTATCACATTAGAATAAGCACACTTTTGGCACAAAACAGGCTCAGCCTTCTAATTACTAGGGCTGTACCCGAATATTCGACTATTCGAATATTCGTTCGTTGGCCAACTATTCGGGTTTCAATTTCATTATTCGGATATTTTTTACTTATGTTTTTTAAATATTTTTTTTTCTTCTAAATGTATGCTATTAATAAAGGTGAATTGCCATATTCTTATACTACATTTATACTTTTGAATTGCATTGTTAAAATGCGGAAATATATACAATCTCAGCCTGTGCTCCTGACATCGCGTTCACTCACAGTCACTAACGCTTCACCTCGCTTCACCTCGCTTCACCTCGTTTCACCCACAAAATAACGAAGACTTCAGCTGTGTGGGACCATTTTAAATTGGACGACGGTAAGAAGAATATGTGCCAAATATGCGACAAGAAACTGGCCTACCACGGTGGCACAACAACTCTGAAAAGTCACCTGGATGCTGTAAGTAGTAGCCTAGCTTAGCTTAGCTGTTGTCAAGTTGCCATGATGAAGCTGCTTTATCCGCCGTTTAAACAGTAGCGTTACACATGATAAAAACGTGCACTTACTTTGCTTAGAAAATAGTTGCAAGCAAGCTACCGAATTGTTTTTTTATATTAGTTTTTTTATTTTATCCGAATAGTGAAAATAATAGGAGTAATGTGGGAACATTACACAGGCTAAGGCAATGGCATAAAGTTGAGTAGCTCAGCCTAGTAATAACTTGTGCAACGCATCCCAGACATCAACATCCTCAACAATACAGCAGACCCTACAGTTACCCTACAGAGGACACATTTAGTTTTAATGTTTGGGAGTACTACTGAGACAATAAATAAATATAAATCGTAATAGTATGCTCTTTCTGCGCTTCTGCTTAACAGCGTGTTGTCCGGTGTCTCGGATTCGGAGCGCGTTATGAAACCTTTTTGAACATTTAAAAAAATAAATAAATACAAATCTCTCCGCACCGAATATTCGCTGTTGATTACTACCGAATATCCGGAGCCCGAAAAATGGTATTCGGGACAGCCCTACTAATTACGGCTGTTTTTTCCTGCGGATTTCACATGGTCTTAGGGGCTTTGGAGCATCCTTTGTTGCTCTTCAAAAAAGATCACCCCCTCCTCTGAAACTCTCTCTCTCTTGCATTTGTTTTCAAGTGCCTAAGCAACTTCCTAGTCTGGGAAAAGACACAGTTCAATCAAAACTTCTTTCTGTTGTCTTCTAAAGGGGAGGGGTGGACCAAGAGAGGAGAAAGTAAAGAAGGGGGAGAGTGGCGGTATGCAAACGCAAGGTTCTTATCGAGTTGAAAAGAGGAGGCAGCTAAAGAAGAGCAGGGCAAACGAGGAGTGTCTGCGAACTACAGAGCAGGGAGGGAGAAAGGAGATCTTAATTTGTTTGAACAGTCCTGGTTTGATCTGGGACACAATCAGGGTGACAGGGAAGTTATGCAGAACGGAAGGAGGGAAAGTCAGAAGGAGGGACGGATAAGAGGCAGATGGACGGACATGCAGACGGAGAGACATACAACTCACACAAAGGGCTGTTTAGGAGGAATTTGGTGGACAGATGTTTGTGTATTTGAATTAATGGAAGAGAGTTAATCTTTGAGGGCACCAAAGTTAGCGTTTGCTCATAAGGAGGAGAACAGCCGTTGAGGAACTGCACAAACATACACAGAGCCTTTTACTATCAGCACCCCCCACTCAACATACTTTGTGCAAGGGCATAACATCTTCCGATTCCAAAAAAGTTTTGCTAATATGTTGAAAACCGGCTAGCGCTAATATATAGGCCTTTTTGGAATACAATCAACAGAAATGTAGCTAGTATCTGTGATATGTGTTACATTGATGATATGAGTTTCATTATAATCAGGGCTTTAACTAATAACGATAATTTATTATTGATTAGCATGGTTTTTAATTTGCGACCAATCGTTAAGTTGCTACAACTTTTGTCGTTTTCTTTTGTCTGACCACTTTCTAAAACCAGACGACAACCCTCGGTTTTGAATGCCATTGTGAAAGTGCTCTATACATGCCTTCTTTCTAAAAGCCAGCAGGGAGAGGTTGTAAATAGTTGCTCACATTCTATAGAAGTCTATGAGAAAATTACCTAACATTTTACCCGACGTATAACCTCATGAAACATTTTCGGTCTCAATCACTAGTTTTAAGGCTTCAATACAGCATGATGTTTATTTTGTAATTGATGGTCCTATTTATAGTAAAAAAGTTTTTTTTTTTAAGGTGAGGCCACCTTTTTATTGACAGGTTGCTACTATAGTCTTGTCTACGTTACGTCCATGTTTTAGACATTATGTAATTAGCCCATTTCACAATAGAATAGAGCAACCAAAACATATGTTGGCGCAGTTAGGACTTGAGATGCAGTAGTTAACTTAACTCCACAGCTCCTTTTGTCATTAAACAAAGTCATATATAAATGTGTTCTGAGGCGACCCTATTTTGAAAGTTTGAAAAGCTCTATAACATCTGATAAAGATAAATAAGATAAGCTGATAGAATAAAACCATTTTTGACAAAAAGGTGGAAAAGTGCGTGATGTTCAGGTTGCTGAAGTATAGCACGTATATTAAGCTCATCAAGTTTGACAATGTGGAGATCTTTGAAGAGCAGATGATGACTGAGATGGAGAAAGTGCTTCAAAGTGGCCTGGGAGTCAAAGAGAAGCTTTTATATCGGCCTCGTCTGAATTCCAGATGACTGTAGTGAGTATTCTGCAGCATTTTAGCTACAATATTTGTAGGAGCCAGTATTTGGAGAAAGAGTGTTTTATCTCCTCTCCCTGCCTCCCTTATATGTCCCTCTCACCTCAACAGCCTTTCCATCCTTGAGCTTGTTCCCTTAAAAGTGTCTTTCCCCACATCTCCACCTCTATCGCAGTATGTCTGGCCGCCAAAAGGTTTATGACAGCAGGATGTGATATCACACCTCCTACGACATTTTCAACCACACAAAAAAATGTCATGTTTTTTTTCGTTCCCTTTTTCCTCCCCGAGGCCATCTAGTTCTCCACCCTCAGAGGCCCCCGGAGAAATTTGACACACAGATGCGATCCTTCAAGTTTTATCCGTTTTTTCTTCAGAGCCACGTTAACTTATTTTTGCTGCCTTGAAATGCCTTGGATGTAATTCTTTATTCAAGTGCTCTAAACATTTATAAAAGACACTTGTTAAGCTTAGTCATAAATCGTTTTCTACCTTCCACCATTTTCACTTGTGTATGGATGTGAATTAAATGCTACGCCCACTGTTCATTTATATAAAATAGCATATAACACTTTTGAATTAGTCCAGAAACATGTAACTGATAAAGCAATCCAACCAATTACATATACAAAACTCTCACTTCATATCATTAAATGCTACATATTTGCAAAAAAAATAAGAGAAATGGTTGCGAAAAATAAGTGTTTGTTTTATGTTTTAGGATTCATCCCATATTTTATCAAATAGGAACCGTGTCAACAGCTAAGATAGGAACAACAACAAAAAAACGTACCCTACGACCACCAATCAAATGATGAAAGGTTTTTTTATTTCTAGTATTTAGCTATCAGTTTCTGGAAGTATGGTGAATACTAAAATGACAGTAAATATAGCTTTACGCATGAGTAACAGTGTCGCAAATGTATGAGGTAAATGTTTAAAGATTGACTACACCTGTTAGAGACGTCATTATGCACAGATATGAATATGGGTGCATTGAGTACAAGATGTTTTAAAACCACTGCCCTGCTCTGTGCAAAAGATGCTGGCTGGTGAATAGAAGTATAATTGTGTATTGTACTTGCCCCTGTGGATAGTAGGAAACAAATGTTTCCTGTCCCGCTTGAGTTGGTCACGCACTGCAATTTGTTGTAACCCAGAGGATACTTTGTTTTTTATGGCCTTGTCCCTCTCTCAGAGTTCTGGGCAGAACACTCTGCTGTGAGAACACATCACCACAGGGCCTGAAACAAAGATGCTGCTGCCAAGGCAAATGGAGTGACTTCATCCTGTGTCATCTCACTGAAGGACAAGTGGGCTCTAAGAGGGCCCACTGGGGGTGTGGGGGGGGCGGAGCAGGAGATGAATTAGGCAGGCTGAAAAGGCTTTTTGGCTCCAGATAATTGCTCTATATTCACATCATAGAGACTCATTTATAAAGAATATCCTCTTTAAATGGTTCCTCTTCAGTTTATTCTTCCTGAATGCTTATGTAATACAGTCCATGGCAAAAAGGTTTGTTGAGTTGAACTGAAATGATACAGTGGGCTGGAAATGTGGTGGGAAGAGGTGCAGGAATGAGTCCTAAAACTCTCAATGTTGATGTTATTTTTAATGTGTTTTTTGTAAGATGCCTGAAATAAAGATGTGTGGTAAACACAAGGTTAAAAGATTTTAACGTTTGTTTTTTACAACATAAAATACCCCAATAAATACTGTGGAAGTCTAAAGAGAATGTCTCTTTAGCAATGTACGTCAATGTGAAAAAGTATTTTTGGGCCCAAAGGACACCAGGGACTAGAACAGAAGTGTAGTACAGTGTTTGACCGCTACCAACATGTGCTTAAATGGCCAACACACTTTCTCGGGGCATGGTAACCTCAGTAGTGAAAGACTGAAGCTTCTTTAAAATGGCAGTTGCTAACAAGTGGCAAAATAAGACTACTAAACGTCATCACGCTAAACATTAGCCATAGCTCAGCGCTGGAGACAAAGAAGTCATGTGATTGTGATGTATGTAGATCGCCTAATAAAGGGGCGTTCAAATGTGGAGATTTTGAATAAAACCTGTAACTATTTTAGAAGTTTTTTAGCAACAGACATTTTTATCTGCCATACTCATAACGCTAATGGAAAAATCCAGATGATTTTCTCAAGGGACCCCTTGAGATGCTAATTCTTGGTCCTACAGAATACATCATCACTGCACCAATCTTTTCTTAATTAAAGAGGAAGTGACAGGGCCCTAGAGTGCTAGAGGCTTGTATGCATGTAACGTAGGTGTGTGTGTGTGTGTGTGTGTGTGTGTGTGTGTGTGTGTGTGTGTGTGTGTGTGTGTGTGTGTGTGTGTGTGCGTGCGTGCGTGCGTGCGTGCGTGCGTGCGTGCGTGCGTGCACGCGTGTGCGTGCGTGCGTGCGTGTGTGTTTGTGTGTGCGTGTGTGTTACCTGTGCAATAGCCTCAGTCTTCCTGAGCTTGTCCTCCCAGGTGTAGGTCATTTCTTGGATCAGTTTCTCCGACTCCTCCAGCCTGTCCTTCAGATCGGGGGCCTTCATGGACTGTGAGAGTGACAGAAGCTGCATTACACAAGGCACATTACTGTGTTTGTATTTCAATATTCACAAACTGCTGTAACCCTAACCTCAGCCTCTGTGAGCTGCTCCCTCAGCTTCTCCACTTCCTCCCGCAGCTCTCTGATGATCCTGGCGTTGGGGTCTTCGTTGACGACGGCGTGGTTGACGATGCTCTTGGCGCGGTCGGCGTAGCGCAGGGTGGACAGCGTCTCGTCATAGTTGTCCGCAGCCGGGCTGATGGTGGCGACCATGGCGGTGCGGCTGTTCCCTCCCAGGCTGTCCTGTAGGAAAAATAAATCCAAGAAAGAGACAGATGACTCTTCAGTTTATCTCTGTCTGAACAAATATCCCTCTGGTAAATAGTGATAGCAAATGATCTTTTGTCAAATTATGTCAGAAATGAGATGAGGAGTTTCGTTTTCAAACAAAATTTGACAATTAGAATCAAATTTTTGTGATTTCTGTCACTTAAAACTCTCAGACTGCACTGTGCAAAACAAAGAAAATCCACTTTAGGATAAAGAAAAAATTACTTAATGTATGATTTAAACGCAGGCAGTTTTTAGGGGAATCTGGGTTTATGCGAGTTTTATATAGCTACACTTAACCCAATGATAATTCTACAAGGAGCCAAATTAAAGAGTAATTTAGAAACATTTTCAATTAAAGACTGGCAAAAGGGGGCTTTTGCTAACTGAGTACAGCTAATAGAAATAACCAGTAGGGCTAAACCTGAAGCTCAATAGGCAAAATACGTCACTATACCCAAGAAGTAAACAATGGAAAAAGAAAATCTCCAACGAGGCGTTCTGGGGCAGCATAGACAGGTCTTTTCTGTGTTAGAGTTTCACTCGCTACAGGGTGTACTTTGAGGGTTTGTGACTCTGCAGACCGTTTACATGCAGAAAAAGCTACATAACACACAAGGGGGTGGGTAATAACCAGAAAAGCATGACACGGGACCTTTAAAGCTAAAGTAGAAATGCAATGGTCTCTAATTTAAGGGACTTAAGAAGTGCAGAACAAAATGTAATCTTGTTCAGACACATTCAAATAACCATCTGAGCCCAGAAGCTTGATAGGCATAATGAGCAAGAGCAATCCAGAAAATGAATTATTTAGAGACTCCAAAGCACTATTTCTTTGGATTTAGAAAATGCTTTTTGTTCTTATTGATCCACATATTTATAAACTATTCAGTAAACAGTATTTATTTGACTGTAACGTATTTAATTATAAATTCAGTTTTATCTTATTCTATCTTATATGTTTATTTGCACTTTTTTTGTATTTTTCTTTATCTTGAATTCTGTAGTGAATTCAAAAGGTAACCAAGTGCAATATAACTGAAGCTAAAGACACAGGAGTACAACTGTTTGTCTGTAGAGGAATCTTTAAAGGTGTGCTCATGTGTCTCTGTACCTTGAGCAGCCAGGTGAGCACAGAGTCTCTGTAGGGGACAAACTTGCTCCTGTTCTTCCCCGCTCCCTGGTCAGCCAAGGCAGAGA